CGAACTGAAATGAAGCAATTTTTCGCTGATCGAACCAATAGCAACAATTCCCCTACCAATGGGAGTTTGTGGCCCGTAATGCCAACAATTTGCACAGTAGTTCCACGAACTTGGGCTTCCGAACAGAGGGATCGATGCACTTCAGCTGAAATTATAGATTCCGAACTATCTGTTTCCACAATGAATTTGTGCCTCGTGCCCGATTGAAATGTCACATTTTGGTACAGATACTGGGCACATTGACTTTGTGTTCGTAGGGAAAGCACAGGGCTGGTTTCTTGTTCGGCCAATGGCTATGCGAGATTTCAATGGGGTTGTCTGCACACTCTTCGAGTGTGGCCAGTTTTACCACACTCATGACACTTGGCATTGCGGAAGCGGCAATGGGAGCGCAGATGGTAAGCTCCATATGACAAACACGGATTGATACATTTATCGTTTCCAGAAGGGTCTTGCTGCGGTTCCGGGGTACACTTGACCATTGGAGGCCGGTTCGGTCTTCTTTTCAGCCGTGGAAATAGTGTTACTGCGTCGCTGGAAGTCACTTTCATTAAGTCACCATGTTGCTCATAAATCTTGCGGGCCTCGGTAAAAGTCAAATCCTTCTTCTCCAGCAGCTTCCGTTGAAGAGCCAGATTGTTAATTCCTGCCTCTAAGCGACCACACATTTGTTCTTCCGGGCGATTACCATGGTTGCAACGTGATGCCTATTTGTTCAGATGCAGAACGAAGTCACGGCAGGAAACATGATCGGCCCGAATCATGGAATTGAATTTAGCCCTTTCATGTGCCTGGAACTTAGTGGGCAGCAGGTGGTTGAGCAGCAGCGAATTCTGGGACTAGTACGGTAGTTTAGCCGGAGCCTCAGGGAACGCCAGGTTTTCCAACAGGAATTAGAGGCCACAGCCGCCCGCAGTGAGGAATAAGGATGACCGGTTTTGTGCGCCACCCGTGCGAACGCTGTACCCCAATCCGAATCGTTCGACCCACTCCTCAATCTCAGATGGGCTTGCTTGCAGGTTCAGTTGCTCAGTAGTTGGGAGCTCTATCCCGCGACGCCAATTTTTAATGATTGTAGTCGTAGTAGTAATGGTTATGCACATCGGACTCGGGATACAAACCACCCAACAGGAATCATGGAACACGAACCAGGGATCAGCTATCACGGACTGGACCACGGAAGCAATGAACCGCAATGGCACTAGCACGCAATGTCCCGCGTAACCGAGGCGCGAGAAGAAGTAGTTCGTTTATTGAAAGAAATGAGGGTGATTAAATAA